TCCATTTTAATCCTGTGCTGTCTACACCAACCACACCCTCTGTTTATCAGTAATGATTTGCTCTTGGTGTTGATCCTGTCTTGTCAAGAAGTTACATTATGCTCAGTATATTTAATACATGACTAATTCCATGTATTTCACATAAGAAAATCAGTTTGTCAAATCTTCCCTAAAGCTATTTGGCTTGGTTTCAACCCTTAGAATTCAACTTTATGCTATGTAGAACACTAGATTCAATCCCTTGCCGGTGACAGTTGAAGTTTTATTATTCTGACTCGTTAAGATTTTATGTCTCTGTTCCCTATGTACCCAGCTAGATTTTAAATTGGTTGAGAGTAGAAAGTAAGTCTCAGACTCCTTAGAATTGTAATATATTCCTATTAGAAAGATAACCTGATTCAGTATGCTCATTTTACAGATGGGAGAACTGCAGCCAAGAGAGGAAGTAAACTATCTAAGGTCACAGAGCAAGTTAGTGGTAGACCAAGGATTTCTTTTCACCATTTAGTATGCTTTTTGTGGTGATTCATGATCAAAAGGCACAGAATTAGGTCACAAGTTTGATGGAAACCTGCCTTTCACTTTTGCCTCCACCTCTTCATTCTGGTTTCTTTTGACTGACCTAAGGAGAGGAGGAGGGAAAAATCTATTAGAAAAAATAATAAAAGGCAAAGAGAAGAAAGGAAGAAAATGATTCCAAAACAAACTACTTCTTGTGATCAGATGCGCGAGGCATTAGCCCAGTAGTGTGGTGGGAAGTGGCAGCTCAAATCCAAAGCCTTCGTCAGGTGCTGCTGAACAGGGAGGACAGAAGTCTGAGGCAGATGAGAGGTCGAGCACTCAGCCGCACTAGAGCTGGGGGAGAGCTGTGGTTTGGCACTCTGGTAGGTAGCCATCATGTGATAAGACACTGAGAACCAAACACTGTCAGCCAAAATTTCTCTGATGAGAAAAATAATGCTTAGTTCTAGCAAGAGGATGATGGAGAAAATGCTGTGTTCTTGCACAGCTGATACCTCTTATTCCTAAAATCCAATGTCTGTTTTGCCAGCGTTTAGTATCAGTGAATTGATTGAAAGGAACAAATTATAAAAATGTACAGCCATTTTTACATATTTTCTTTAAATCTTCTTGGGTTCACTCTTCACCCTATCCCTAAAATCTGGACACAAAAGTGATAAATACTATGGGAATTAGAAGAGATTTGCAAAAAGTGAGCATCATGGCAAATGTAATTCTGTCTTATTTTCCTTACTTGTATATATTTAGGTTTACATAGCCATTGTTTTCCCCTCCAAAGGAAGTAACCAGCTCAGTAACAACAGAGGCCTTGTCATATTAGTAAACAATAATACATGAATGATTTTGACTGAATGGCAGACGGGATTGATGTGATTGGAGATGGCTGATTTAAAAGGGTGTAGAGTAATATATTGTAATATACATATAAAATGTATAGTAATACATTGGCAACCACAGCCTAATATTAATGTGGTTTTTTAGGTCCTTAGTGTTTTCTTAAAAACCCAAGCCAACATATACAAATTAAGACATTTTACATTACAAATTCAGACTTTTGTCTTTGTTGAAAAATTAGTAAATGTGGCCCACATCCAGCAAGACAACACTGACTTTTTTTTTTAAGATTTTATTTATTTATTTGACAGAGAGAGAGAGTGAGCACAAGCAGATGGAGCGGCAGGCAGAGGGAGAGGGAGAAGCAGGCTCCCCGCTGAGCAGAGAGCCCGCTCAGGGCTCGATCCCAGGACATTGGATCATGACCTGAGCGGAAGGCAGACACTTAACCGACTGAGCCACCCAGGTGCCCCGACAGTGTTGACATTTTAAATTCATCTTACTTGAGAAGGTGAATTTTGAATAAAGACTAAAGGAGGTTACAGAGCTTGCCATGCAGGAATCTGGAGGAAGAGAATTCCAAACAAAGAGACAGCAAGTGTAAAGGACCTGAGGTTGGAGTGTGCCTGGATGTTTGAGGAGGAGCAAGGAGTATTGGAATATTTGATATCAGAGAAGTATCTTTCTGTTCACATCTCTTTGTCAAAGATCAGGAAAGACCACAAGGTCTTCGTGTTTCAAGAATACAAGAAAGCATATCTCTTGGGTACCTGGGTGGCTCAGTTGGTTAAGCGACTGCCTTCACCTCAGGTCATGATCCTGGAGTCCCGGGATCGAGTCCTGCATTGGGCTCCCTGCTCAGCGGGGAGTCTGCTTTTCCCTCTGACCCTCCCCCCTCTCATGCTCTCTCTCTCTATCTCATTCTCTCTCTCAGATAAATAAATAAAATCTTAAAAAAAAAAAAGAATACAAGAAAGCGTATCTCTTTGGGAAATAATATTACTAGGCCAAGTGCAGCTCTGTTGAGAAGAATCATCATAAATACAATCACGAAATGAAACAGTGGCAGCTATGACCAGTATATAGCAATGATGCCAAAGGAAAAATTTAATGAATGGAAAGGAGGATTACTATTTCAACAGGCTTTGTTTTTACATGTGCATAGTGTGATGCTGCAGTAATGTATTGAGTGGAGAATTTTCTCAGCATCACAACCTATAAAAAAGTATTCATAAAGTGCATCAAGAATTGTTGCCCTGGATAGGTGGTAGAGAGGCATTTGCAGATATATATCTCAGTAATACTGATGAAGAATTTAAGAGAACAGGTTACATGAAGAAAGCTAATCATTTGTGATGTTTCCTGCTACAGCTGATAAGAACACATCTAAACAGCAGTGAAATCTCTTATGTAGAGTGTAGGTTCCAAAGTCAGCACATAAGACAAAAGTGTGGGATGGTCGAAATCACTCTTGCAAATCCCTTAGAAGGGTACAACAGATCTTCTGTCATGCAGTCCAACATGGCCGGTTTTATTTCCAAGTGTTGGAACCAGAACTCCATTTCCTCAGTAGAGCATCAGATGAAATAGTTTGCTATGCTCTGTTTTAAGCGCTAGGCACTGGGCACAGGGATATAATCACACAGAAGCGTAAAGGGCCTGAGACCATCTGGGAGAAGAGCATGCACATAATCCTCATCTCACCCTTACTCAAGGCATAGTTCCTGGAGTGCAGCATTGCCTACAAAGTGTAAAGTGTTTCTTTTTCCTCCTCATCCGAGTGAATTCAGTTCTACTGCATCACCCGTTTTTGTGCATGCAGTGACTCCACAAAGCAAAAGTAATAAGTAGTGCAAGAAGCATGAGGTATGATTATTATTCATAGATTCCTTTCTCTCCAGAATACTTTCTTTGTTTAAAAGCTTTTTAGGCATACATTAAAGCAAACAATTAGTGGCTTTATGCACTCTCTATGTTATAGCTTGTCGTAAAATTAGAATTAAAATGTACTTTCCCAGTGGTGGTTAAAGTACCCTTTGGTATGATAGGAAACCTAGATTTTTGAAATTGCCAGCTAACTCAAATACTGGGAGGAAAAACATTTTGATACTAAAAGCTTTTCTTTCATTTGTCCTGTGCTTTCAGATAAAAACCTATAGATCGCTGATGAAGGAATTGATTTCTAAGTGTGCTAGAGTTTAGGAAAATATATCAGATTTATTGCTTTATATAGGTTGGGTTTGCTTGAATTTATTGATATCTAGGTGTTACTTTCTGCATGCTTGACTGCTAAGAATAATGGGTATCTGCAAGATATTACTGGGGTAAAAAACCCAGCCCAGCAGTTAAAGTCCTTCATTTGACTTTTTAGAGAAGAAAAAAATGTGAAGACCATGCCACAGATCATAATCCTCTTAAGAAAATGTTACAGGATGAAGCAGTTATAAAAGTATTTGAGGTTTGAAAAATACTTGAATGTTGCTAGAATGTGGTGTTTTAAAGTCATTTCTAAACTATTTCAGGTTCTAGAAAACCTAATACCCCCATTCCACCCACCCACCCCCAAAAACCCTTTTGAAACTAGTTTGTGAGATTAGTCATCCCATTGTTTTAAGACACTGTCTCCCTTATTATACTTGTTGGAGTCTAAATTATAAATCTTAATGGCTTCAGATTTCTCTTTTTCATGTTTTTCTTTTTTTTTTAATTTTTTTTTAAAGATTTTATTTATATATTTGCGAGAGAGAGAATGAGAGACAGAGAGCATAAGAGGGAGGAGGGTCAGAGGGAGAAGCAGACTCCCTGCTGAGCAGGGAGCCTGATGTGGGACTCGATCCTGGGACTCCGGGATCATGACCTGAGCCGAAGGCAGTCGCTCAACCAACTGAGCCACCCAGGCGCCCTTTCATGTTTTTCTTAATGGTAAACTGAATAAAGCCAGTATTGGAATTCTCAACAAAAGGCAGGGATTTATCAGAATCACCTGTGGTGTTTCTTCTTCTGTGTTTCTGTGTTTCCTCCTCCTTCTTCTTCTCCCCCCCAATCCTCCCTTTCCTTCCTTCCTTCCTTCCTCCCATCCCTTCCCTTCCTTCCTCCCATCCCTTCCCTTCCTTCCCTTCCTTCCCTTCCTTCCCTTCCTTCCCTTCCTTCCCTTCCTTTGAAACACAGTTCTACCAGTACTTTCAGAAAAGCATAGACCGTAAGTGGAACCTCAGCAACCGGTAATTACGTTGGTATTGCGCTCCCTGGTGACCTCCTCACCCTTCTGATGTCCTCAAGGTAGAGGGTAGTGGGCCTGCCTCGCTGTGGCACACACCAGGTGACTGGCGCAGGTAGGCAGCTATCAAGGTGCATTTTTGCACACTTGTATTTTTGGGAACCTAGTTATAATGACAGTGCTGTAGATAGAAGGAAACTACAGTATTAATTTTGGTGTGTTAGTACCACCAGACTTGGTACTAAATCAAAGATACCCAGCCTTTATCCTGGATTTTGCGTGCATTACTAATTCTCAAAATTGAGGGTGTTAATTTGTAATTCTGAGTCTTCTCTCGTTAGTTTTCCAGAAATTATACATATTCATGAAGTAGATTTTATTCTTTTAATTACTGACTTACATATTTATAATGTGTTCTGATTTTTAGGAGGAAATACAATCATTACTAGAAAACTTACATGTTTACCATTCAAATTACTTCCTGGTTTTGAGATGTTTTCATCACTTCACCTCTTCTCTTCCCAAGTACCCATTGGGTCGACAGGTAACCAAAACTTCCTCATTTGGAATCTCTGCGGTAAGAATATTAGTAGTTTCTTGCTTTGATTTCAGCAGCATTCAGGCATCAAAATTTGAAATGGATCCAAATCATGCACTGAGTGCACAGTCTAAATCCATTGCAGCTGTACACATTACCGGTAATTGAAACAGTATTTTTTGTTCTCATGGCCCAACTAGAAACAGCCACATGAATCCTGGTGGTGTTGCTTCCCCTGCGATGTATTTGTCCTAAGGCATTTTAACTTTTTTTCTTTCACACTTCTTTGGATACTGAGAGAGCAGCTGATTCCTCACCTTATTGAAATGCTTGATGGTTAACCTTGCATTACACCAAGAACTAAAAGCGAGGCAGCACTTCTGTGCTTGCAAAATTATGCCCCACTGGCTTTTGTGTCATACCATAAACCTGTGAACCATCTGTGGAGTGGATGTTAGTGGAATAATTCTGTATTCTTAAATCTTTGCATCCTTCACTCAGAGGCTTAGAGAATAAATATAAATAAATAGGAATGATTTGTTTAAAGATGATTTCTGCCATTAAGCATTCTTTTTAATAATCACATATCATGTTTATTTTATTACTTTCTTATTGCAGTGTGATCAGTGATATCAGCCAATCCCAATGTAGTCTCATTTTGCTTTTACGTAAATGTTATTCTTATAAAGCCTGACCTATGTGATGGTATGCCCAGTCTGTAGTCATCTAAAGAAAATGGTTGTTTCTAATAAGATTTATTTTTTTGTCTTGATCATTGATGATTTTGCCAAATGAGTAGTGTGAAATTTAGTACATCACTTTTGGTTCTTTACAAGTGTACTTTTTACTTACAGATCAGGGAGCTGTACTGCACTTGTTTAGAAAAGAACATATGGGATTCAGAGGAGTATGTGTCAGCCTTGCAGCTGCTGAGGTAGTTTGGTTTGTTTTCTTTTTGTCTGCTGTAAGCCTGCCAATAAGGAACACCCTCCTCCAGAATTCTGCCTGCAAGGGGTTTCATGAGTAGCCATGTTGTGTCTAATATCGGTATATATGTGGATCTACATATATAAGCTGATCCCTCACCTTATTGAAATGGAGAAACGAATCTGTTCTTAGTCAAATATTGACACTACTTGAGGAGACCTTAGATTAGGTATGGGTAATTTTATTTTTTTATTTTTTAAAAAGATTTATTTATTTATTTTAGAGAGGGAGAGAGTGGGTGGGAGGTGATAAGGAAGGGGCAGAGGGAGAGAGCGTCTTAAGCAGACTCCAAGCTGAGCGTGGAGCCTGACTTGGGGCTTGATCTCACAACCCCGGGATCATGACCTGAGCTGAAACCTACAGTCCGATGCTCAACCGACTGCGCCGCCCAGGCACCCCAGGTATGGATAATTTTAATCTTGCTAGCTTGATGTCATGGCAGGGAAAGTAGTCACGGAAAGGGAGCTTGCCATGGCCCTGACCAGGATGGGTGGAGGAACAGCATCACTGGGTAAAATGCATCCTGTGAAGGCGGTCACTGCCGAACTTGATGAGGAGGCAGTGGCCTTGATTCCTCCCCCCACCCCTTCTGAGCTAGCCCTGTCTACATGAACACTGGATATCATAAATTATTAACCCAATATTATATGAATAAATAAGGTATCTTGGTGGTGTTATCAGATATCCGAGATTGCTTACCACCCTGACAAACTTATCTTTTAAAGTTATAGTCATTTGTTTTTCTTGGCTTTACTTCTTACATATATGGTGACTTTTTAGTCTTCCATAAAAATAGTGACCACTTGGATAATGAGAAAAGGGAAATGAAATGTGAGTTAAGTTTCTGCACACAGACTTATAATTTTCCTCAGTGAATATAAATGCTTATATGAAATATTATAAAAAAGTCTGAGAACTGAATATTTATTAAGTCTTGGCTTCCTCTGGGTCCACAAGAAAAGAACAGATGGGCACAGTAGGAGGAAAATTCACATTGAAAGCACTTTAAGTCCAGAGACTTAATAATACAAATGTTAGTGATCTAGCAGGTGCAGCTTAAGATAGGAAACTAATTCTATGCTGTCTGGAAAAATAACTCCCCAGGGAAACTAGATTGCCACTGAAAAGCTATGTTTTATTTGATTTTTTAAATGCCAGTAAGAGATTTCTGTGTACCTCTGTATATCAACTGAGACTTCGTTTGCTTTCTATTCAAGTCAACATGTCTGTCTCAACACCCAGTTGATTCTTGCTGAGCTTCCTCTTTAATCTTTGTGAGTAGTGATTGTCTTCCTTTTCCAGTTGGAGTATTCTCAAATTCATAGATTCCTTTGTCAGAGAGGGGCTTGTTCTTTTCTTTCTGTATCTTTCTGGCGTTGGTAATCTTGGGATACACATCAAGGATCAAGAATGCCAAGGCCAATTCCGAACTAGAGTAAGGAAACATGAGCAGTAATAGTAATGGTAACAGTCCTGGCCACTGTTTATGAAGGGTTGCAGTGTGTCAGGCACCATGGTAGGCGCTGCCAGTTCATTTTCCTGTCTAATACACAGCACACCTTTGTGCAGATACTGTTATCCAAATGTTACAACCCAGGTTGCTGAAGCACACACAGGGCTTAGATGATTTGCCTAGATCTCTTAGCTGTTGATGGAACCAGAATTCTAATCCATATCTGACTTCACAGTTGTTGTACCTTCCATTGTTCTTTGCTAAGATCTAAAATACGGGTTTGGGGATCTGAGTAAAGCAGAAGCAACAAATGGAAAGTGAAGCTGCAGTCATCTGGCTAAGCTGAGGTAAGAAAGAAACATAGGAGTGAAAAAAGCACTAAGGATACAATATGGCAGGTACAGCAAGGACAGGTTAGAGTCTGGGCACTACAGGAATCTGGGAATCTCCAAAATGGATTTCTTTTCCCTTTTGTGCAAATTGGCTGTGGACGAGAAGTCAGGGACACTTGTCAGTTTAGGCATTCTTAGTAGGAATCATCTGAATTTAGGAAACCAGACATTCTCATCACCTATCTTCAAACAGTTCAAGTCGTGAGAGAAAATAAGATTAAATGACCACTGAATGTCACTTGGGAAGAAAAACTAAGGTGCTGTAGAAACATTTCCAACTTGAATATTCTTTGTTAAGTTCCTTATAGACAGTATTTCTCTTGAAAAATCCCTTTTATGTGGAAACTGACATTTTTAACCATAGATCAACTTGATGAAATATTTTGTGACCATACAAAGTATTTAATTTCTAATACTTGTGTGGAACCACCAAAGAACCAGCCAAAACAATCTTGAGAAAGAACACAGGTGGGGAGGCATCATGCTTCTTGATTTCAAACTATATTACAAAGCTATAGTAATCAAAAGAGTATAGTATTGACATAAAAAAAAGACACAAAGATGAATGGAACAGAGAGCCCAGAAATAAATCCACACATATATGGACAATTAATTTATGACAGAGGAGGCAAGAATATATAATGCGGAAAGGACAGACTCTTCAATAAATGGTATTGGGAAAACTGGACTGCTTTCTTACATCATTCATAAAAATCAACTCAGAATGGATTAAAGACTTGAACATAGACTTGAAACCACAAAACTAAAAGAAAATGTAAGCGAAGCTCCTTGACATTGGTCTTGGCAATGATATTTGGGCTTTGACACTAAAAGCAAAAATAAATAAGTGGGACTATATCAAACTAAAAAGCTTCTGCACAGTAAAGGAGAAACCCATCAATGAAATGAAAAGGCAGCCTATCAAATGAGAGAAAATACTGACAAATCATACATCTGATAAGGGATTAATATCTGAAATATATAAAGAACTCATACAACTCAGTAGAAAAAAACAATGGATTAAAAAATGGGCAGAGGATCTAATCTAAACAGACATTTTTCCAAAGATGTACAGATGGCCAACAGGTACATGAAAAGATGCTTTAACATCACTAATCGTCAGAGAAATGCACATCAAAACCACAGTGAGTGAGATAACACCTCACATCTGTTAGGATGTAACACCTCACAGCTGTTTGGATTTCTTGTGTTCAGAAGGACAAGATATAACATGTGGTGAGGAATACTTGTGCCCTGTTGGTGGAGATGTAAATTGCAGTCATTAGAGAAAACAGTGTGGAGATTTCTCAAAAAATTAAAAATAGAACTACCATTTAACCTAGCAATTCCGCTTCTGGGTATTTAACTGAAAGAAATGAAAATGCTAACTCAAAAAGATACCAGCATTCCCATGTTTATTGCCGCATTATTCACAATACCCAAGACATGGAAACAAGCCAAGTGTCTATCAGTGGAAGAATGGATAAAGAAACACACACTCACTCACACACTGGAATGTTACTCAGCCATGAAAAGAAGGTCTGCCATAACACTGAATTCAATACAGATTAGTGCTTGTCAGAGAATAGGTTAGTGCTTGTCAGAGGTGGGGGGTGGGCAAAATGCATGAAGGTGGTCAAAGGGAACAAACTTCCAGTTAGAGAATAAAGAAGCCCTGGGGATGTAATGTATAGTATGATGATTATAATTAATAACACTGTACTGCATACTTGAAAGTTAAGAGAGTAGATCTGAAAAGTTCTCATCACAAGAAAGAAAATGTGTAACTGTGTGGTGATGGATGTTAACTAGACTTACGGTCATCATTCCACAATATATACAAATATCAAATCATTTATGTTGTACACATTAGACTAATATGTTTATTATATCAATCTTTTAAATTTTTATTTTTTTAAGATTTCATTTATTTGAGAGAGAGAGCTCACAAGCAGGGGGGAGGAGTAGAGGGAGAGGGAGAAGGGAGAGGGAGAAGCTCCCTCAGCAGGGAGCCTGACACAGGACTCAATGCCAGGACCCTGGGATTATGACCTGAGCTGAAGGCAGACGCTTAACCGACTGAGCCACCCAGGTGCCCCTAATTATCTCAATTTTAAAATGTACTTACAAGGTATTTATAATGGGGGGGAATGTCATGTATTCGTGAGTAGGAAAAGACTTACAGAATTTTATATCACAGTTATTTTTAAAATGTGTGCAACAGACATTGATGTGCATGTGGGAAGCATGCAGGTATGTCTTTATAATAGGTCATAATTTGACATGAGTGCATTGGTTCCACATGTCTTCCATAGACTTTCTTCTTTCAGTCAACTCTTGAAGCATGAAGACCACATCCCTATACAGGATATGAGTTGGTTTTCACTCAAGCATGTATCATTATATAAGGATATATATTTCACTTAAAACACCATTTGGGAACAGGAAGTGGTAAAAATGATGCTAACCCAGCAGTGAGCTAGGTGAGTACCCTGGGCTTTTTGTGGTCAGCTGTGAAACCACAAGGGGAAAAATTTACCTTTCTGTTGGAGAAAATGTCTAAATAGCCATCTAGAAATTAAACACTTGACCTAGAATTTTTCAGACTTTTGAAATTCAAAAATCCTTGCTTCAGTAATAAGGTTTTAAAGGTTGATAAAAGTCATAAGAGTCCTTGACTTACAGGAACATGATGAAACAGCTGGACCAGAAGAATACTGCAATCTCGTATCAGTTGCCGTGGATTGCTAGGGCAGTGATTCTTGGGTTGAGGGTAATGAGAAGTGTGCCTGTCTTCTTAGGGAATTTATTCTGCCCCTCGCCCCATAATTAAGAATTACTCACCAAGGATTATCTCATTTTCTTCCAAATAAGGAAATCAGAGGCAGAAACGTTGAGTGACTTTTCTGCAGTTGACAGAGCTGGAATTTAAATCTGAATCTTCAAAGTCAAGTCCATTTTTCAGCCCTATTCCAATTATTTGAGAGGTAGTATAAAAGGTAATTTCTGTAGGTTTGTGGCCAGTAGTCCATGTTCAGAACATACCACAGATACTAAAGTGAACCAGCCAAGCAAGCTTCTGTGGACTCAAAACCCCTGTCCTACCCTGACACGATGCATCTTGGCACAGAGTGTAGACCTATAAATGAAAGGAGCCACAGTGTCTAGTCTGCTTATCCCAAGTGTAACCTTATGAGTTTGCTATAGAAATAGATTTATAAATTGAAGTTGATTGATAGCTAAAGGAATTTACTTTAGGCTGAAAGAAATTACTGATTTCTGAGTAAGGCTTTTGAGTTAAACAGTAATATATTAGCAGGTCAGCTCAGCTTTCACTGAGTTAAAAAAAAAAACATGACCCAAGTAATAATATCAACATTTGATCACTTTAGCTTAGTTCAAAGAGACTAGGGATTTGGAATCTAAGTAAGGCATTGTTTTCTGACTTTGCAGATCAACTTTAGATGAGATTTAAAGATCTAGTCAAGAAAAATAGCACAGCTCCACAGTCTATGCAGTGCTTCCTAAATAGCATAATTTAACTTTCAATGATCAAGATTTGTCCATGTAGAAGGTATATGAGACTGTACAGTTAAAATATAATTTCTTTCTTAGAACAAGGATTGCCGGTCCTGAATTTGCATCACAGGAGGTCCTCCACAGTCATCTGTACACTTGGGGTAAAATCAAACAGCTGAATTGTTGAAGCTCATTCTATAGCAAAAGATAGTGATAGTCGTGGTTTTTACAGTACTGATTTTCAGGCCTTAGTGTGCATAAGGATCAGCCGAGGTGTATTAAACATTTATACTTTTGCCCTCTCCCCAGAGATTCTGAATCTCTTGGGAACCTGGGTGGTGGGCAGAAGGCATCTGCATTGAACAAGCACTCCACCACATTTGGACAGGTAATTAGTCCAAAGGACCACACTTGGAGAAACACTGTTCTAGAAAATAAAGGGGAGTAAGAAGAGAGTACACAAAATTGAGGAGAAAATGAAGCCATCAGAGGAAAAGAAAAGGCTTTATTGGTGGAGGAGCTGGATGGCTTGAGGGAGGTGATCTCAGATTGGTTCTAAAACTGAAACCACGTATTCCGCTGCTAATAGTGAGCAGTAGTTTTTTATCTCAATAGACAAGATCTGAAATTTTGTTTTAAGTTTTTTTTTTTAATCAAACATTTAGTGCCTACTATTTTCTGCTAGACAATGAACAGGTAACTAAGAAATGTTACTTTAAAAACTCAGAAATCACGGGGGCGCCTGGGTGGCTCAGTCGGTTAAGCATCTGTCTTCAGCTCAGGTCATAATACCAGGGTCCTGGGATCGAGCCCCATGTCAGGCTCCTTGCTCAGCAGGGACCCTGCTTCTCCCTCTCCTCCCGCTTGTACTCTCTCACTGTCTCTCCTTTTCTCTCTCTCTCAAATAAATAAAATCTTTAAAAAATAAAATAAAATAACTCAGAAATCGCGAATCAAATTTAACTTGACAGCTTTTTTCTTTTAAAAAGAAATATAAATATATAAGATATATATGAT